GTGGATTATTAAAGACTTCTTCATTGATTCTCGTATTTACGGCACTCGTTTATTCGTTTTTTTTTTCGAGAACTTCATTTTTATTCTCACAAAGAGCTATCCTGACCACGTTTTTTGAAAGAAAATCGAAGGAAACAAGATGTCTCTGTTTTTTGAAAGGTTTTATTTTTTCCTCTTGTTTTTCTCTTGAAAGAAGGATAGTTTAGTGACATTGTAGAATCTGCTGTCTGGATCTTTTAGCTTATTGGCCCTTATATTTTTTACATATATGCCACATGAAAATGTGTCACTTTTATTCGTGGTTTACAGAATTTTGTGACATATTTTGGAAAGAATATGCAACGGTCATTAAAATTGCAACGGCACTGCAACTGATCGATCTTGTGCATGCGGTGATTGGCTTCACAAAGGGAAGCTATCGTACTGGACTTGTACAGGTATGCAAATTTCGCGATATTTTTGAGTGCGTATTACCACAGACCGATTGTAGCATCCAGATTGACCTCGGATGCCAAAGTGTCGAAGACGTATTGAATACAGAAAGCAGGAAAGAATGTGGAAAGGAGACAGGAATGAGATAAGACGTTTCGGTCCATTAAGTCATATACGCGTGTTCTAAATTTCATATTGGCTTGGCGCTTTTGAAAGACAAATTTTCGATGCTTTTTCGATAATATAACCTGACATATTTGGGGCGGTAAAGCACCTCGTTGTGGTTTAGGAGAAGTGATATTGTCTGGGATTATGTGGCTTTGCTCATCGCGCATCATGGTTAGCTCGAAACAGTTATGTTTGGAAGAATGGTTGGGTTGGCCTTCTTTAGAGGATATGAAATGAACTTCAGCAAGTTGCTAACTTGGTGATGCAACACTGGTCAGAGCTTTCTGGTCAGATTGTCAGCTGCATAGTTGGAGAAACTAACTATGAATTATACTTGGTCCTGTATAGTTATACAGAACTGGATACAGGGGATGAAACTGTAGTAATGATACATATATAAAATATTAAAAAAAACAACTTTTTGATAAGTATAAAATATAAAAAATTAAGAAATCAAAAACGAAAAGGAATGTTTTGATCCATCAAGTCACATACATTGTTTCTTGAATAACAGTACCAGATGATTTAGGGTAGCATTTTTTTTTTTTTTTTCATGTTTTACTCAGAGAGAAGTATCCCAAGCGGAAATTAATGTTCCCCTGTGATCAGCTTTCGTTGTTACTGTTACTGCTTTCGTTGTTACGTTTGCTCGTGCTTTCAGCGCATTTGATATTCCGTAGGAAGCTATAACCAATTTCTTATTAGCACATGGTAACGCAGCTTAGTCGTAGAGTCTTTTAAGGAGTAATCCTTATTGTTTAATGGTTGAAAGGGAAATGTTAGATGCATGAAAGATACTTTGATCAGTTGTTGTTTCTTCATTACTTTCCATTTCGCAGTTGGTAACTTCTCCATTCTTCTCATTTTGGACCTCACTCATCCACAGGTCTGTAAAGTCCTATGATAGCTTGTTGTCACAAAAGTGGAAGATATCCGCGAAAATCTAGGGACATGCACAGACGCTTTGACTGAAGGCGTTTTACACGCTGGAAGTGCTAGTTTACTCCATTTGTCTTATTTTGTATACCAGTTTTTGCAATATTCAAAAACATAAAAATTCAAAAAAATTCCTTCAAAAAGTTAAATATTACAATAAAAGAAAATTATTCAAGAAATAAAAATTACAATATTCAAAAATATTTATTTCTAGC